TACATTCCATATCTGTTCGGAGTCTGAGAAATCCTTCCTCGCCTTGGATACATATTCAAAGCTTAATTCATGCTGACTACTTCAAAATCTAATCTTGATTCTGCCTAAGTATTTGTGGATTACCGAACATCTGAAAACAGAACAGTGTGATGTATTTCTGTGAATTTTAATTTGGTTTCTGGTTCTGCACTTGAAATACCAGTAGGGACCCACCAGGTGGAATAGTGGCTGCCCCTCAGAAGTGAGACCTGCACCAGTCCCATTGCTCAAAGTGAGCCCACATGGGACACGGTACCCCCAGCACACACGCATGCCCCACACGGGGGTGTTGCTCCGCACCCTCACAGAGCAAAACAGCTGGGTGTGGAAACGGTGGCGGTGGTGTTGTGATGGGACCTTCGTTACTTTAACACCTGCTGTTGGTAACAATGGGGTGGAGGCAGGTGAGCGTTCAGGAAAAATCAGAAGGTTTGGTTTGGCTGATGTAGAGCTCATTATGAATTGACAATCTCAGGTTTTTGTTTTAATTTTTTTCCATTTTCCCACCGTAGCTGACGGTGCTACAGAAAGCCCTTTCTGAAAGCCCCAGCCTGATTTCACTATCAGCCACTTAACCACGACATTAATTTTTTCAATTGCTAAGCGTCTAAGATTTGAAATTACCATATGGGTTGGAAAATGTTATGTAGTGGAACCAGAACAATCTGTTAATTAAATACCACACGTCTTTGCATAACTCAAAGTTCTTTGACATTAAAAAATGTCCTCCTGGGGCGCCTGGGTGACTCAGTGGGTTAAGCCTCTGCCTTCGGCTCAGGTCATGATCCCAGGGTCCTGGGATCAAGCCCCACAAGCTTCCCCCCTCTCTCTGCCTCCCTCTCTGCCTACTTGTGATCTCTGTTTGTCAAATAAATAAAATCTTTTTTTTTTTTTTTAAAGATTTTATTTATTTATTTGACAGAGATCACAAGCAGGCAGAGAGGCAGGTAGAGAGAGGAGGAAGCAGGCTCCCCGCTGAGCAGAGAGCCCGATGCGGGGCTCGATCCCAGGACCCTGAGATCATGACCTGAGCCGAAGGCAGCGGCCCAACCCACTGAGCCACCCAGGCGCCCCGTCAAATAAATAAAATCTTAAAAAAAAAAAAAAAAAGTCCTCCTTTCCTTCCCTCCCTGCTCCCCCAGCACTGGTATAGAGAAATAAATTAATTAGATTTTCTGTAGGAAATAATGGCACAGTAAATTCTGGATTTCAAAAGATTGTTTCTAAGAGTTTTGATGAAAATTCAGCAAATATTTCACACTTTTGACAGAATTGCCTATGTCCGACACAGTTGATTTATTTTTGATTCATGGCTTTGGTTAGAAAATCTAGACCTAGCAGGTTCCCCCAGGCCAGTCTGGTGCTTGTAGGATACGAGCTGGCCTTTCGTGGGCTTTAGGTTACTGCTTTGGGGTAGCTTTACATTTAGATCAGTATATATTTTATTCTGTTTTTTTTTCTCCCCTAAGTGTTAGTGTCAGGTTCACAGAGTGACCTGATTTCTTAAATGTGGAAATTACATTTTTTAATGGGCAAAATACATCTCACCAGAATTTTCCCTTTGGAGAATTTTTTATGTGCATGTAAAATTACCTTATAAGCCAAAATTTTTATCTTCTTGACTAGTAATAAGAGTTTCTGTTTCAAGTACAGACCCATTTTATTGATCAGGTATCCACATTTATGGTTGTGAAACACACTGTGGATAGAAAGTTGAATATTTGTGCTTGATGCTTACAGACGAGAAATGTAAGTGTAAGTTATCTTTTTGATAGGTGGACTATGTTATTATAATGGGTGTAGTTGGGTCAGTATCTGGGTAGAATTATGACAGTGAGGGTAGATCGGCTTTGAATATTCCCTGCCCCTGAGCCCCACCTGCTTCAGGTGCACCTTTTAGAAGACCATACCCTGAATCCTTCACTGTTGTGGGGGTTCACGCTCTGGGTGACAGTGGCGCAGAATTAAGCAAATGACTTTGAGCTTTAACCAGCACTACCATGGGGCCAACAGACTCATTCTCTAGGGTCAGCCTGACCCCTTTCGTTCTGGTGGGTTCTTGTGTGACATGAGGCCAAATAGGACACTAAGATTAAACTAGTGATGAGGTTGAGAAAATCTTCCCCCACCCCCGAAAGAGAAGATATTTTGGTCACTTTGGAAATTATCTTTGAAATTTATGTTGAAAAACTCACTGTACTGAGATTAAGACTTCCCTTTTAAAATACAGGAATAGGATGCCCTTTAGGATATTCAGAATAGAATTTTTATCTTAAATAAGCTGTCTATTCTGTGTACATGTTAGGTAGGTTTTATTGCAGGATGAATGATAGTCATTTTAGCTTTAACAGAGTTCAGGGAACAAGAACAAAAACCCCCAGTTTCTTCAAAAGCCAAATGGTGACTCGTGCTGTATTAGAGTAGTCCAGGCAGATCAGTCTCCTTGGCAAAAGTTAATTTCTAGTGTTGTTATTGGATTAGATGGTGTTGTTACTCATCTAGGTCAGCTTAAACAAAAATACACGTAAGTACAGTTAGAGAGCTCTGATCTGTTGTTCTAACCAGTCAGTGTCTGCTTAGATGGATCTGATCCAATATCTTGGGTTCCTTAAAACTCCAGGACGTCCCCGAGGTGCCTTGCCTGTTGCTCAGTGTTCTCGGGGTCTGGGCTGTGGAGTATCTGCACCAGAGTTGCCTAGGAAACCCGAGAGCGGGCAGCCTCCTGGGCCTCCCACAGACACTCCCACCCTGTGTCTCACTGCCACAGACTTCGTGGGTATGTTTGTGTCTGTACATTTATTTAAGCTACCAAACTGTTCTTGCCTAGAAAAGAAACACTTAGAGAAGAAACTCCTTTGCCTCCTTTCCCAAAATACAGCAGAGCACTTATCTCTGAGAACACGTTGAGTTTGGCCACCAAGGTTCCATATTTCCTTCTTAGCTGCTGGCTGGGTTGACGTGTTCACTAGGTGCTAGTTGGACCATAAGCCGACTTCTGACACAAGACTGACCCCTTTGATGGTTACCAGCCCAGGCGTAAGCCAGGCAGAACCTTCCAAACCACACGCAGAGTAAGTAAAGTAAGGGTGTGAAGGAGAAGGCAGTAGGCTTCATCTCCGGGTTGGGGGAAATTAACTGCGGGAGTTATTTTTGTTACGTGTTATAACAGATACCAAGTTTTCTTCCAAGTGTCGCGTCCAGAGAAACTTCACATTTAAGTGTCGAAATTTAATCCGCAAGGATGTCAACTCCACCAGAGCAGAGCTTGTCCTGTGTGGTTGCTGTACGGAGAGCACCTCCTAGAATAGTGTCTGGCACAGGGGTTATTCGCAGTCGTTGGGTACATTAGTGAATGTCTTGACTGATTAAACACTGGGTAATTTCCAGGTGTTTTTTGCCTGTCTTACCATCTTTATAAGACACACTATCTATAGTTTACACATTTGGGGGGATAATTGGTATTTTTTTCATTTCTGACTCTAGGATTAAAAGCAGATTACCCTTTTTTATTATTTTAATTTTATTTTGTTTTTAAGTAAAGTGTATGCACAACGTGAGGCTTGAACTCACAAACCCGAGATCCAGAGTCACATGCTCCACCCACTGAGCCAGTCAGGCGCCCCTGAGAGCAGGTACTCTTCGAGAGAGCCTTGCATAGTGACAGGTGGGGGCTCTGAAACCCAGGAGAGGCATGTGGCAGTAGCTGTGAGGCGGCCATACGGTGTCTGCTTGCTAGTCTGGTCACCTGTGGATGGGGCAGCTGTGTCCCTATAGGCCCGGAGAGCAGGATGGCATGAAATGACTCACACCAAACCTTCAGGCTCTGAGGTATAGTAGGCATTCTAAGAAAAGAGTTTTCCTTTCTCTCAGGGGTGAGTCGACTTTTTTAATGGCATCTGAAGTTGGGGGGAAAACCACTTGATTGCTGATAGTATAAAAGGAATAGTAATGATCAGGGACCTGTGACAGACCAAAGTGCTGTAAACCCAAGAGGAGGAAGTGAGCTATTATATCACCACCTGGCATCACATCTACCCTGAAATTCTGTTTCTTGCCAGTTTTGGCCATTTAAAATTTAATTTTGATAGGCTTTTACAGAATAATGATAAAACTGTGTGGCAAAGATACAGCCAGAGTAATTTTTTATGTGGTTGGGGGTGTATTCAGGGGCTTATCCTAGACATTTCTCTGTGGTCAGCCTTCACGTTCTCTCCTAGGGCTTTCTTTAGGAACCTTCTTCCCCTTGTCTTACTCACAGAGCACAGATAATTCTGGAGAGCACCCATGTGCATTCTTCGCATGTACATCTGCACGCGTGTACACACACACACACACACACACTCTCACTCATGCCCGCCCTCTCTCAGGCACTCCCTCTTTGTGGGCATCATTGTTGGATTCCTTTGGGTAGGGGTTGGGAGACAAAGAAGATGGGACAAGAGTTTTGAGAAGACTTCATAAAAACTTTTTTTTTCAGAGTGCTTTTAAGTGCTTTTATAGAGCTATGAATCAACATCAGATTTACTTACAACTATAAAATTCAGAAACGCCACATACAAAATATTTTTATAAAAATACAAAACAGAAAGCCATATGTCTAGGATTGCAAAATCTGATAATTTCAGGTTTTTAAATATTTTGCTGTGGTCAGAACATACCCCATGTGTCTAATTGTGACTACAGTGTGTCCTTGCTACCAGTGAGTTAACAAGTCACAGGCCCAGGAACCTCATCTCTTTTCCTGTGCCTGTAGTGCTGGACTGTTCACTCTGGAGTATGGAGAATGCCATCTTCCTGGTGCCTTTTAGGGTCTTTTTGATGACTCCTGTTTTTGCTCCCCTTCACATGACTTTCCATCAGCAAATGGTTGGGACTGGGTGTGAATGTTAGTGACAGCTTAATGAAAAGGCAAACCTCCCTCTTTTTTCTTCTTTCAAAAATGCCTTTATTCCTTTACCCAGAACATTTCCTCTCCCCGTGTGGGGTTTGCAGACTTGAATCCACCTTTGTGGGCTCCATTAATACTGAGACAGAACTCACAGGTATGTCTTAATTTGGGCACGGGGTAGCACTTGTAAGGATGCGGTCGCTGCACCTGCTGCCATAGAAACGAGCTCATTCAGGTAGCTTGCTGTTCTCAGGTTTTCCCTTACTCTGTAGATTGAAATAGGACCACCGCTTCATCCCTGTTCCTGTGTGATGTTTGACATTTCCTTAGGAATTCTATCTTGAATTAAAGTGTAGTTACTTTACCAACAACCTAGATTTTTTTATGTTCTCCTTTGTGTTTCAAGTATGATTTTGCGGGGGAGGGTGTCATCTTTATTATACCACTTTTGTGTTAGTTTGTCTTGAAATGGAAGCATGCTCATTCACTGGCCAGAATATTTTTAGGTTTTATAATTCCGAGTCTCTGGTTTTGAAAAAAGTCCGTTCTTTGTCCATTACTCTTTAACCAAACTGAGGTAGCAGACCTCCCCACCATCACGTCCTGCACAGTTCTGAAGTTAGGGAGAGTCTAAAAGCAAAGCAGAGTGTGTGAGATGGGCTTGCTTCTAGAACGTGCTAAATGATCTATGGAAAACAATGTGATTTTGTTCTGTTTGTTCTGATGCAGCTTCCAGGAGGCAGTCTCAGGCTGTACCTGCAGATATGCGCCCGGAGATGTGGATTGCGCAGGAGTTGCGGCGTATTGGAGACGAGTTTAATGCATATTACCCAAGGAGGGTAATGATGTTTTATTTACTCCTTCTCCTCACACCCTCCCCCTCCCCACAATTGGTTTTTTTCCCTTCCCTCTAAGATGACGAGTAATAATTCTGCGCTTACTTGGGAAATGTGAGCTGTTGCCTACATGTGACCCACCATTGTTTCTCCTTTCCCGTTTTCCATTTGAAAATGTTTTATGGATGAATTCAAGTCCTGGTAACTAAATAGAATATGGTATAGGTGGCACAGGCATTTCATGAGCACAGACCTTAAAGCGTCTGTGCTAAGAAAGGGGTTCCGGATCTGCTTTGATGTATTCCCACATAAACAGTAACATAGTTTTCAGTCCGTACAGAGGGTTTCTGCATTCCCTTTGGGCCGTTGGGATCAGAGGTAAAAACTTACTAAACCATCCATCTTTAATCAGCCAGAGACCGTGATGCCCGCGGTAGTCCTGTAACGGCACCCCTGGAGTTTGATGGGTGACCCGTCAGAGCAGGAGAGCCACCCCTGCTGTCCCTGGTGCTGTCAGCAGGCCATTAACCAGGGGTCTGGGACCTGGAGCATGAAAAGGTTATACCCCTAATTGACTGCCACTTACATTGTAAGGCATGCTGTTGATTAAAAAAAAGCAAAAACAAAACAAAACAAAAAAAAAATCCCTATGTCATCTTCTTCAGACACAGTATATTTTGTTGATTTTGCCCATGGCAGTAGCCATTACCACTTGAACACCTTTTGCCCACGGAAGACTTCCAAAACGTGTGGGCTCCAGCTCTGGGAGCTCGGGCTCTTATGAGCATATGTGAGTACTTCCTGGAAAGGGCACACTAGCAAAGATTTGGTATAATTTTGGGTTGTTTACATTTTTCCAAACGACCAAGTATGAGGATACTCCTATTGATTTATCCAAAAAGAAGACACGTCTTATTTTGTAGAAAAAGCTATAATTGTTTCTACCACTCTTTCTTACTGTGCCACTGGTCTTGTGGCTCCTTTTTTCTGAATATTACAGCTTCTTATAAGTATCCCTTTGAGATTTTTTTTTACCTTTTTCCCCCCTCTAGAAGGCGAGGTCATGCTTGGAGTACCCCAATCTTTGCATTCTGCTTTGAACATTGGTCTCTTTTTTAGCTAAGTGTCGCTTAGTTAAGTGGATGTTACCTGTTCATTGCTTTGAGTTGTTCTTGCTTTCCTGTCCGTGTAATGCCTTTCAGGCTTTTTTATACACATGGAAACGTCCTCCCATTTGCAGAGGGTCCCTCATTTAGTCCTTCAGTATAGGGTCCCTGTAAAGGAGCTAGGGGTGCTCTGAAAACTCCCGTTGGATCCTCCTCATACCTTTCTATGGGTGTGTGTGTGTGTGTGTGTGTGTACGTGCATGCATGCACACACATGTGTGTGAGTTTGATGGGAAATGTGCTATAGTACGATTCTGTCATTAAATGAGAACTGTCACATTGATGAATGGGTTTAGGAATCTCTTACTGTGGCCGTCCTTAGCTGGCAGGGATATCCAGCATCCTGCCTCTGCCGTTTACAGTGTATAAATTCCTTCTCGACTAGCTCTGAAATGGCAGTTGTTTTTAGAAGGTTGATTGTTTCATAATTTCCCACTAGAGTTACACTTCCCCCGACCCCCAGCTCCTTTGCCGTGGTTTTCCCGAAGGGATTTTGGTGTTCCTGTCTGTGTGACTGGACTTGACCTTGACCCTCTTGCTGGGCCAGGAGAGACTGGCCAGAAGCAGGGCCCCAGTGCATTCATGATGACCTCCTGCTGGGGTGGGAAGGCTGATTCTGGGGGACGTGGCCATAATTCAGTAGGAAAAGATGGCAGAGTGGCCTCTCACGATGAGCCTAAGCAGCGAACTGACCAGCGTGCTGGGTCTGCCTCCTTCTGCATCTTGAAGGGGTTTGTAGACGTCCTTAGGCCAGGTCTGATGTGGATGGGGCTGCCCAAGAGAGAGGAGGCTGTTGGGCCCTGGTGCCTTCAGAGTCCAGAAGCGCTGGACACCGACAAGAACCCACACAGCTCTGCTTTCAGGGACTAGATCAGAACCTTTGGCCACAGAGCTTGAGGTCTTGTAATGATATTATGTGTAAGTTTTTCTTTAAACTTTACACAGGGTATCAGCGACTCTATAACGTTTCACCCTGGGCCTGCCCAGATGGACCTGGCTGCTGCACCTCTGTGGTGGCCTGTGTGGTCAATGATAAGACCCCTGGGCCAGCCGTGGCACGGGGGTGGGCGCACAGCGTAGGCCAAAGAGGTGGACGGTTCTAGTCCCGTGCAAATGGGACACGAGCTGTGGGGTTGTTTTCATTACCTTGTCTGTCCATGGGAGGTGAGAGAAGCAGTGTCTGGCAGGGTATGTCCTTCTTCCCCTCCTCTTCTCCCAGGGTTACTTCACAGTTTAATGTTTAAGAGGATATTGGACATGGCCCTGTCTGTTCAAAGGAGATGCAATCTGTTCTCTGTGCTTTTGGTAAAATAAATGTAAGCTAATTTCATTGCAATATCACAGGTTTCTGGTTGTAAGCCTTATTTTGCATCTCTTAAAAAAAAATGAACCAGTGTCAAAATGCGGTCACGAATAATTTAAGGGACTCTAGCTTTCTAAGTAGACTGGGGATATTGGGGGAGGCATAAGGACAGACTCTAGGTTATAACCTGTTTTTTCTATAATGAAGGCAAATATATTCTCCAGATTTTATGAATTGCCCATTCAAAACACCAGATTCTGGAGAGTGATGCGGTGACCCCCAAAGTGACAGACGCCTCTTGTCATTGTTGGTTCAAAGTAATCCAGAGTCTACAGTGTCCATTCATTGGGGGTAGAAATCTGGGGAGGAAATGGGAGGCGGTAGTGGAAAGTCATGCATTCAAATCTCCTGCTGTCTCACAGAGGGGAGTCACTTCTTGGTGAGTGGCGCCCAGCCCCGCCTTGCTTTATAATGGTTGCTTGCATTTTAAATATTGAGTGTCTTTATTTGCTTAATACTATTACAGTACCTTTTCTAAAGTGTTGGTCTTTTACTGCCATGAGCCTTGCGAAGCCTGACAGGATATTTTCCCATTTTTTCAGTTAGAGCAATAGAGGAAGGTGTCGTGTAGTTGTCATGTGTTCAGTCCACTTAAGGGCAGTGGGGAAGCGTATGAGACGGAGCTGTGGAGTCTGAATCCTTGAAGGAGGAGGTGTGAGAGGCACAGGTGAGCGCAAAGTCCCAGTGCATGTTCCCCTTTTCTTTTGTGACTCCGTGTACTTGCCCCCCAAACAACCCCGCCAGGGCAGAGCGACCCGTGGCCCCCTCTGTCTGGTAAGTTTGACCGCTCCAAGTCTGATGTATTTTTGTAACTTTTTGTCTTGAAATAATTTCAGACTTCCCATCTGAAAGTCACAAGAATGTTACAAAGAACCCTCTTCTATCTGCCACCCCAGTTCCCCACTGTTCCCGTGTCGCCGCATCTGCTTTAATGTTCATCCCCTTTTATACCTGTGCACGTGTTGTTTTCTGGACTCTGGGAATAAATGCTAGGTGTGATGTTCTTTCGCCCTCAAATCCATCAATGTGTGTTTCCTAAGAATAAGAGTATTCCCTTACATAACCACCGTGTAATTCTCAAAATCAGGAAATTAGCAGTGTGGCAGTACTGTTATGTGATCTGTGGACTTCATCCAAACTTTACCAGTTGTGCCAAAAATGTCCTTTATAGTAACAACAACAACAACAAAAAAAAAAGGTTGTTTTTTTTTCTGGCCCAGGATCCAGTTTAAAGTCATGTGTTAAATTTAGTTGTCTTATCGCTTTGATGCCATTGATTTGGAACCTATTCCTCCGTCTCTGTGACCCTGACATTTTTGAAGGGTCAGGACAGGTATTTTATGGATTCTCCCTGAATTTTATTTGATTTGTCTCTTGTCTCCTTGGGATAAGATTCGAGTTGTGTGTTTGGGCAGGAGTACGGCAGGAGCGACATCGTGTCCTCTCCCTTCAGGTCCCCAACGGGGAGTCCGTTGGACCTGTCACTGGTGATGCTGACTCTGATCAAAGCTGGCACCTTCAAGTCTAAAGCCAGCATGTTTCCATTTGTAATGGGAAGGAGGTGTGTGTAGAGGATGAACAACTTCCTTTCCCCATTATATTTTTATCCCGTTCATCAGCCTATATTCATGGGTCCCTCTTTAATTCAGTAGGTTCCTCTGCATTATTATCCTGGGTACTTACTTTGATCCTCAGATTGTCGCAGATCTGACCAGTGGTGGGCCTCTGATGCGTTTTCACCTGTCAATTCAGCATTAAAGGGCCTCAGTCATGCAGGCACATCTAGAACATGCTCCAGGACAAAATCCAAGCACCCATGGAGGTGGTGGAGCTTCCAGAAGGCATCTGTTGCTGAGTGGCCTACAACCACACAGTGCCATGACTTTTCCAGCCCTGCTCTACACCCCACCCCTGTGTCCGGGCTCAAAGATTGCTGGGGAGAGTGGAAGTCAGAGGACTTGTAGGGAAGATTATTTCTCAGAGAAGCTAGATCTCTGTTTTGAGCTTTGTGAGAGGGTGAGTGGCTCGTATTCAGCTGAGTGGTGGGGCATGTAGTGCTGTGTGCTTACCGCCCATTCTAAGGGGATGGTCCACTTGGATGGGATTCTTAGCCATGGGCCAAGGGTGCAGGCCCGTCTGTGGAGCATGTGCTGGGCCCTTCAGAACACTGGAACATGTGCTCTTGGGGGTAATTAGACCCATCCTTTACGCCACGTCTGCCTCCCCCTCTCCCCATTACCAAGGCTGCCATCGTTTACCTTTGGTGGCCTCCCCCAAGCCTTGTAGTCAGGATGTCCAGCCCAGTTTGCTCTGTGCGCAGGTAGACTTCTCTTGGTTGATAGTGACTTGGGGATATCCTGGCCGTGGCCTGCATTGAGCAGCAGCACATGAAGCCACGTCAGACCCTCTAGATGGGCCAAGAAGTGAATGAAAACCCTTTCATTGTTTGATCCCAAGAAACAGTGTATCTTTTG